CTTTATTAAACTTATTATTAAAACTTTTATGTAATTTCTACTTTATTAAATATATATTTAATGAATATACAATTAAAAGTGAAAATTTTTATCCTTTAGGAAAGTATTTTTATCTCGTTGAATAAATTAAAAGAGATTTATTTAAAGGAGAAATACATAAATTTTCAATTATCTTCATAGTAACTAATATTCGAAAAAGAATAAAAATACATTAATTATTAATTATTTTAATAATTTATACGACATAATCTTATAAATATCCATAAATTATTGAAGAGAAGTTAATGTCTTTTGGTATTTAATAGTGATATATTTCTTTATTTCATCGATTAANAATTTTTTTTTATAATTTATAAACATAAAAATTAATCCGTTTTATAATCAAGAATTTAAATATAAAAATTAACTCGTTTATTTTTTTTAATTCTAGAATCAATATTTTAATCTAAATAAATAAATAAATTTAATTTAAATTCAGAAAATCGGATAAGCTAAGGATAATTATGTTTATTCTGAATTCTAGAATACAAAATTTCTCTCTAGAATAATAAAAATTCATTAATTCATTTTTTCAAGTATATATTTTTATATACTTGAAAAAATGTAAGTAAAGAAATGAATTAATTCAAAGTGGATAAATTCTAGAAAATTACAGATATTCTGGAATGCAAAATAAGATATTGACATATACAGAAAACTGTCATTTTATTATATTATTTAACTTATATTCTTATCATTATTGAAAGAAAATAAAAGAAAAATTATTTTATCTAGAATAATAGAAATTGATTATTTTTTCAAATTCAAATATAAAAATAATCTCTTTCATTTTCTAGAACGTAAATTTAAAATTTAATTTATTTCTTTTATTCTATATACGAATTTTTATTTTTTTTTTAACTTCAAACTAGATAAAGTAAAGTATTTATTTAAAACAGAGAAATGGATAAATTCTAGATAATTATTACATTATCTGAATTCCAGAATATCTTTTATATTCTGGAATGCAGAATAAATATAATGAACGACAAATTCACAAAAAAAATGAAGCCATTTCATTATCTATAATTGTAATTAAATTTTAGAACATATATTTTGTTTTCTCTAGAACATTAGAAATTTATTCAGTTTATTGTTATTTTTAATTTTTAATCGATAATTTTCTTGAGGGAAGATTTTCCTTGCCTTGTGGCATCACTTCTATTGTGTAAATAAATAAATGAATGAATAAAAAAAAATTAACTCTTTTCATTAATTCTAGATATAGCGTTTCTTAATCTACATAAAGAATAGAAATGAATAAATTCTAGAAAATTACATTTATCTGAATTCCTGGATATTATTTAATTCGCGAATGCGGAAGATATATGGTGAATAATAAATATATGGAAAATTAATCCATTTCATTATCTGTAATTGTAGAAAATAAAAGAAATATATTTCTGTCTAGAACAATTGAAATTGATGAATATTTTAAAATTCAAATTCAAAAAAAAAAACAAAACTAATCAATTTTTTACTCTAGAATATAAATGTAAAAATTAACCTATTTTTCTATTTTTTGATACAAATCTAGATAGATTTTGACATCTAACAATAAATTTTAATATAGAAAAATATATTATTAATATAATACTATATAAATTGAAGATATTCACGTCAGAATATTTATAAAATATTTGTAATTTTAGTATTTTTTTTCTGCTTGATAATCTGACACAGCATGATTTATCGATTTTTACTTAATTCTCCATTTTGTACATAAATAACCTGACTCTTTACTTCAATAAAGTATTATAATAAAATTTATATAATTATCTCATTATTAATTACTCCATATAATCTTATATAAAATAATTAAGTAATTTCTAAGCTAATCAAATATTTGGCACAAGTCCAGAGTTAATTGAATTATCTCAATGGTAATGATTGCTGGAAAGAGAGCAGAATCAACTCAACACACTCAATAGTTTTAGTTAGGAGATATCTTTTTTTTTTTTTTTATTATTTAAATGCTGAGTTATGGCTAATTAAAAGAGAGAGATGCGTGAGGTACACTTAGAATGATATTTATGTTGATCGATTTTAATTTCTGATGCTGATGTTGATTTGAAAATATGAGCAAAGTAAAACCAGAGCGATGTTATCTTAAAAATTACTTAAGAAAATTTCTCTAAGCACTCTACATATTTTATCAGATTTAATTTCTTCAGAATCAGATAGGAGTTTACTACACTTTTCTAAGCATAAAATTTTGTAATTAAAAATTTTTTTACATCCTTTATTAAACTTATTATTAAAACTTTTATGTAATTTCTACTTTATTAAATATATATTTAATGAATATACAATTAAAAGTGAAAATTTTTATCCTTTAGGAAAGTATTTTTATCTCGTTGAATAAATTAAAAGAGATTTATTTAAAGGAGAAATACATAAATTTTCAATTATCTTCATAGTAACTAATATTCGAAAAAGAATAAAAATACATTAATTATTAATTATTTTAATAATTTATACGACATAATCTTATAAATATCCATAAATTATTGAAGAGAAGTTAATGTCTTTTGGTATTTAATAGTGATATATTTCTTTATTTCATCGATTAATATTCATAATTTAAAATTGTCATGCATCATTAATTATCGAAATTTTCTAAGTCGATCTCTAAGCAATTTGAAAATTTTCTCTAATGTCTTCACTTTTTTTCTCGGTTGTAGAGCGGTTTGTTTGAAAGAAATTCGGTAAAGTTATCGCATTTTTTTTCAAATATTGACCACACTTTTTGAAAAATATATATATATATATATACATTGTCAGATATACTTTGTCCTCCTCATTAAATACAGCAGATGTCTTTTTAAAAGATTTAAATCGACTGAATTTTCGTTATACAACGAAATTTGGCAACAATTCAATTCTGATACGTTAACTATGGATTGAAAAATTGATTTTGTGTTTGTCTTTTAAGCAAATTTACTCGACAATGTAATTTTTAAATATCGTTTCAGTCACCTTTTATCATTTTTCCTATTGTTTGGGTTCATTAAATTCATTTTATAGCAAATTTTCTTCGTTTTTTTAATCGCTTCTTAATACCCAAATGCGGATTTAAGAGCATTAAAAATTGATTTATTATTTTTTTAAATATTACATTTAAAATCTATTGATATTCGAGTAATAGAATAGAATACAAGTCAACAGTTTGGATTTAAACTAAAGGTTAAGTTAAATTTAACTTTCTTCAATCGATTGTTTAAAAATGAGGAAAACAAAGGAATTTAAAGCGATTATAGGATAGAAAAGAAATAGTTTCCAAGAACAAAACTGTTATGGCGGCCATAAAAGTTAGAATAGCTCGGTACAATTGAAGAAAAAATTTAATTTTTCTATTAAAAAAAACCATAAAAACTTATTGCACGATAGCATTTAGATAATATATGCTTAGTAGAATGTTGCATTCCTCAGTAAAGTTAGAACTTTTAATAGAATCTTAATTAATCCTTTAATCTTTGTATCAGGGGGTGGTAATTCATTCCTATTAATTATAACAAGCTATGTATATTTTACGATAAACTGACAAAGATTATACAGCGTTACAAATCTAAACAGGACGCCCGCTATGTTAATTATGAGCATTGTTGAAACATTCGCCTGTTTTATCTAATTATGTGCCAAGTAATACTGACATTTACAGTAGAATTATTGCCATAGAAATGAAATTAAGGTAGATAATCAAATGTACTTTAATAAGTACGAAATTATCCTTTCCTAGAATTATTTTTTCTGTGTTTTTTTCTGAAGATTAAGTGCTTCGTCGTATCTTAATTTCATTTAATTAGTCTTATTAAGTTTTGAAAATAAAGTTGCTTGAAATTTTTAACAAGGAAAATGTGTAAAGTTTAAATATGTGATAAAGGCTATCGTTTGGAAATAACATAAAGCGAAATTACTTTTTCAACAATGGCTGGCTCAAATTACCAAAGAAGTTCATTTATTAGCGAGAGGGGGAGAAAATGTTAAACAATTTCTTCTTCTTAATAATAAAATTTGATATGCAAAGAACACATTTTGTTATACAAAGAATTAAAAAAAAAAAACATAAATTAGCCATTGCACATAAGTGACGTAATAATGTCTCATCTACTTTTATACTCCTGTTTATCCATTATGTTTCCTGAAAGAGAAAATATCTGCCAATTTACGAGCGTGAAAACTATCTTCTTGATAATTCTTTAAGGTGAAGAGATTCGATGAAAGGTATAAAGCATCCATTGTAAGACTCAAATCCTTGCAACATCCAAATGTCAACAGAGAGAGAGAGCTTTCTAGAACTTAATGGAAATCAATTCCAGTTCTGGAAATGGTTCCTAATGGAAGTTATTGGAAAACTAATCCCGATTCCTCTTAGAGAATATTTTTCAAGTATCTTTTGCTTTGCTTTTAGGTATAGAAAAAGAGTGATCTAGAATGTCTTAAGATCTTGAATGAATAGAGCCGTACAACACCATAGCTAATTTGTTGGCATTCTAGTGGAATATGTCTCAAAATCTGATATTGGCTATCATTTATTTATAGAAAAAACAGCTTATTACGATTCTGCAGGGATATGTTGTTGAGGATTTATTGATTTTATGTATTTCAGGCTACAAACTACGCTAAGGTAATTCTTGGACGTCAGTTATGTCGATAATTGCTTCTAGTTTTTCTTTAACGCTGTCATTTATAAGAATGGATCTTTTGTGGTATATAACATAGTATTTTGTTAAGAAAATTCCAGAAACTTATTAAAATTTTTCTTTTTTTTTTCGTGTAATGTTGATTAAAATTGCAAGCCTGGAGGGATTAGTTCTTAATTAGTTAGTTAATCGATACTAAACTATACCAATGCTATTGTTTTTTACATTTAAAATTATTTATAACAATTTAATTTATATTAAATTTTAAATTAGAGCTAAAATTTTGTTTGTAAAATAATTAAATTGAATTTTTTACAGCTGTAGAGGATAAACTACAGTGTTATCAATGTTTAGTGAGTGACAACAAATTATGTACTGAGGAATTCCTGGCGCCCTGTCCCACGAGCCAAGCTTTTGACAGATGCATGACTATTATCTCCAACTCTAGTAAGTATTTTCTATTATAACAAACTTAGTAGAGTAGTCTAAAACAGCATTAATTGAAGAGAACATTTTGGCGAAACGCATAAGGACCATCGATCGCCGGAGAGGAGTCCTGTGTTCTAGGGCTTATCTATCGGGGTTGTACATAGAAATCTTGTGGATAAAAACGACGAATTGAGTCCTAAGGCGATTTTCAGTTTTTGTTCTCCATATCGTTTCTTTTTACAAAAATATTCGTCTCCATAGCAACAACATATTCCACCATAAAACCTTTATCCAGTTAGAAACGGGATTATCTCGCTAAGAAATACAAATTATATTCTAGTTTTCTATAGTCATATTTTTTATTTAAATTGTTATTTTTTTGTGTAAAGGTTTTTATTCTTTGTATTTTCAGAGGATGAAGGTTATCAGATCGAAAAGAAATGTGCTTTAGCCCCGTGCAGTTTGAGAGATCCTAGTCAAAATACAGGTCTAGGCTTGGATCATTGCGACAGAAGCAAAGCAGAATTTTCCTGCATCAGTTGTTGCAAAGGAGATGGATGCAACAAAGATGGAAGTGAAAATCTTCAGTCTTTTTCCTCTTACATCATTCTTGTTCTATGTCACCTCTTAGGTTTTTTCTACAACCGAATTATTATATAATTTCTTTAACCTTTGACCTTCTATTTTATTCAGATTTTTGCTCAAATTTGTAGCTCTCTTAATTTACTTCGAGGGGTCGAGATAAACTTCAGCAAATCTGAGAACATTTCTACCTTAAGAAGAAAGGAAAATCATATCAGTTCTGTGTTTTATTGTTTCATTTTTTTAGATTAGAGGACCTTTAAAAACAAAAGCCGATTTCTGTGTAAATTTGTGCGTTGAATCGAACTGTAGCCAAATCTAGGGATCGAGTGCCAAAAATTTTGTTTTATTTACTACATATCTATATGCACAATATAAATAAATATATATATATATAAATATATATGGTTTGTATATCCAGACAATGTTCTGTGACCATCTGATCGTTTTTCTTACCTTTTCGATGGGTTTAAACCCGAAATTTGAATAGAAAACAGAAATTCTTAAATGTCTACTTACTTTAATATGTTGAAAAATGTATTTATTATATATACACGCTCACTTATGAATAGATCCGTTACTGTATTCACTCTACTCACGTTCTATTGATATAAAATCCCTAAACGAGGGAAAGAATCACTTTAATTTTTAATCATTATCATAATTAGTTTTTATTCCACGCAAAAAAAAAATTAAATGTAATCATTTCATAATTTGGTATTTTATTTTTAAGGCTTTACGGTAAACTGTTAAATCCAAAATTATTGTTGTAAATACCAGCAATAGTACAGATTTCTGCCACAAGATGGCAGTAGTTTACTATTCACTGCCATAAGTAGACTGCACCTATAGGCATTTCCTTTTTTATTTTTATTTTTTTCCTTTTTTTTTTATTCTTCCAAATTGGTTTCCGGCTCATAAAACAAGAAAAATTAGTTTTTACCGTTAATTACTTTCTTTAGCGCTGTATATAGCTTTAATTGCTTGATATTGCTCTAGATGTATATAAATAAATCAATAATAATGTCCACTAGTAATAAAAAAATTTAAATCTACCAATCAGCGACGAGATACAATAAAATTTTATTTACGTTTACGTTAATCGAAACGTATGGAGGATTTTTATTGGTTTATTTATATGGTATTTGCTTTGCTGGAAATTTTTCATCAAAAAAAATATATACAGTATATATTTAAAAAAAAAAACGTTAAAAAAAGAAATACAATATACTTTTCCTGTGACAAAAATTTCAAGCATTTATCAAATAAAATTCAATATATAGTATTATATTTATGACAAACATGTAAGCAAAATATTGAGACCCCAAATAATAAAAAAGAAATCAAACAATAGAACAAATTTGTATAAAGATCGTGTGTACACGTGTACGTTTATGTCGATTTTTAAGAAATGTAATCAGATTTAATCCTCATAATAAACATTTAAATAATCCGAAATTGTTTATTGATTTTATTTTTTTTNAAACATTTTTTAAAATAAAAATTTAGGTTATTTTATTGACTTATAAACTATTTTGTATTTATTCATGCGTTTGTTTGTCTGTTTACAAGCTTATCTAGTTACTAAATAGATAAGGGCTCAATTTCTGCATTCGCTTTATCTGTTTATTTGTCTAACCGTAAGATTTGTCGAAAAAGATTTAGATTGATGGATGTTATTATGATGTTTGTAATTAATATAATATATAACGTTAAACACTATAAGCGATTATATTATAATTATAGATGCATGCAGGGCCGTATTTACGCATTAGCTAAACAAGATGCAGCTTAGGGCCTCGTGTTATAAGACTACAGTTAGAGCCTCATATTTTTATCTATCATTACTTAATGGAAGGAAAGGGCCAATAGTATTTTATAAGTTAGAGCCTCACATTTTAGAAGAGAATGGCTAAAGGGCCTCACATTTTACATTGCTATGTAGAGGGAAGGGCCTAATATTTTATAGCTAAGGATCTCATATTGTACTGTACATACATTATTACTTAGTAAACGGAAGGGTCTGTTATATTTTATAGTTAAAGGGCCTCACATTTTACATGTATCATTACTAGATAGAAGGGAAGGGTCAGTTATATTTTATAGCTTAGAGCCACAATATACAGAATCCAGCTCAGGATACGTGCGATTAAATTAAATAATGTATTTAAACAGAAAATATGATTGAAATTTAAAAAAATAATTCGTAAAAATTCAATATTTCCGTCTACTTTCGAAGGATTTAACATACTTTTTTTGCTCACGCATTCAATATAGACTATATTTACATTAAGTGTAATTTTGGCAAATGCCGTCGTAAATTTAACGATGTTAATTACTTACATTAAAATGTTATCACGTAAATGCAGGACGTTATTTCGATTCGATCAACAAATGGAAAATAAATTTTTATTTTACACGAAAATACCTGGCGCACATTTTGCATGAGAAGAAGAAGAATCGATAGAGAAATGACAAAAGTTCAAAACCTTTCATCACTCTCCTCGCGTTAAGAACAAAATGTATGAAAAATGTTCTCTCCTTTTGTTATTTTGCATGAATGTCGCATCAAAAAAGCTTTAGTTGCACCTTTCTAAAAAAAATACATATACATGTAAACTTTCTAAAAAAGCAATTTAAAAAGATATTTTCTTATCAGAATATTTATTTATTTATTTCTGTAAATAATAAAAGATTAAAAAAGGCGTCGTGGAGTCTTTACATATGCGAAATTAGTTTAATTTTCTTTAAAAACTGCATTCTATATAAAGAAATGAATTAAAATGAATTTATATTCTAGATTATGAAACGGATTAAAATTAATCCATTTTTTTTATCTAGAATAAAATTAATTCATTTCTTTATCTAGAATAGTTAAAATAGATTAATATTTATAATTTAAATATAAAGTTAATCCGTTTCATAATGTAGAATATAGGCTAAATATGAAAATTAACTCATTTAATGGTTACAGCTTATTAAAATAAAACACGGAAGTTAAAATGTGTAGAAATTAAAAAAATATGTATATATATATCCGTTAATTATTATATAAATAGAAATTAAATTAAAATTTAATTATATAAATGAATAAGTTAATTTTATTCGCCTAATGTTTCTTTATTTAGAGTAGAAATAAATTTAAAATATTTAAAATTACTCCGTTGTTTTGATAAAATTCGTCTTTAAATGATTATATATTTTAAAATTTAAATGAGAATTTTATTAATTATAATTTATATTACATGTAATTTTTCTAGAATTATTTAATTCTT